GAGGGCCTTGGGAATTTGGCTGGCCATGGAGCTCCTGTGGAGAGAAGATGTCTGTGCTCTTCCCTCCACCTTCCTGCCACTTCCATGGGAGGGTTTCAGTCTGATCCACAGGAAGGAAACCTTTTTCAAGACAACTGATATTTCTACCTCCTAAAGTCCCCCCTGTTCACAGGGGTGTAGTACTGGTCTTCTCTCCAAGCCTACCTGGACGGGCGAGAGAGAAGGAAATGCTAGTACCGGTCCTAACAGAGAAATCAGGCCTTCTGATTCAGACTAAGCTCCTCCTGGTTCTCTCCACTGACAGCCAGCGCTCAGACTGGGGAATGGGCTCAGCCTGGGGGAGGGGCTCCCCAGGTTGCCATGGGAACCTATCGGCCCTCCTCATTTCTCAGAATCGCAAATAGAATTGGATGCCCTTCTTCCTGGTGAAAGACTATTTAAAAATATGTGGGGGGAGGGAGGCACCGGAATGCTGTCCTTGCCCAGTCTCCAGGGGCTGGGAGAATGGGCCCAGCCTGGGAGTCATTCTGCCTGCCCTGCTACCTCTTCTCCCAATTAGATGGAGTGAGAGTAGGCTCTTGGCCAGCTAAAAATTTTGAGAGGAGACTCAGCCTAAGCCTATAGGGTGTGTAACTAGCCTATACTTAACACTACCAGGTTCCGAAGAGGGCACTCGTATAGTGATGCTAACAGAGAAAATGCCCCCTCCTAGGCCTGTGCCAATTGCTAAGCTACTGGGAGGAGAAGCAAGTCTGTGCAGGATGCCAGCTTGGGTATGGGACTTGGGCTTGCATACTTGGGAGGGAGGCATATACTGGCTTCTCTCTGGCAGGGCAACAGGTTCTTAATATGTAAGTGCAGAGCCTGATGGCCTAGCTTCAGATACAGTCCCTACTTGCCTAGTTGCAATCTCTGCCAGTTCTTCCTTCTCCTTATATTATGTAGTGCTACGATAACAGAAACATGAGTGGATGGCTGTCACAGCTTGGGAAGCTAGAAGTCTGAATTCAGGGCACCAGCTCCAAGGGAAGTCTTTCTCTTTTTGCTGCTTCACAGTTTAGGAAGGTCTTTGCCCCCTTTCAACATCTGTGGGCCTGGCATTCATAGAAGATCTGCATGAATCTTAGGATCAATCTTCCTCTAGATCTAAAACATTCTCAGTATAGGAACTGTGGGTTCAAAGGCTGTGCTCTACTCCCAGCTCTTCCTTCTTAATCCTTCCTTCCTCTAGCTTTATCTTTTATGAGATGATATGAGCCACATCCTAGGGAAATTGTCCTTACATCTGGTGGGAGATGTGACCTGAGTAAGGATATTGCCTCTCACTTTAACCCTCTTACAAACTGAACAGCTGATCACATCACGGGAGATGATTACATCATCACATAACTGCCAAACCTCTGAGAGGCATGACCCAGCCAAGTTGATACATACTTTTGAGGGACACAGTTCAATCCATAATACCACCCTCAGCCTCAATATCCTCACCTGAGTGCCTAACTTACTGAATTGCTGTAAACCTGGGATTCATGTTCTGAGCTGCTCTGGCCCAGAAGAAGGGCCTAATCAATAACATTCACCTGCTATTGCTAGAAAAGAGCTCAGGTGACATAGTGATAAGGAGCTGCGCTGCCAACCCACAGGCACATGGTTCGAATCCACCAGCTGCTCCACAGGTGCAAAAGGGAGATGAGCAATATTCCCCTTTGCAATTTACTACTGCTGAAAATCTGCTGGAGGGTCTTCTCTGAGTCAGTTCTGACTTAATGGCACATAATGACATTATTGCTAGAAGGGACATTTGCCTCTCTGGTAGGAAGAGCTGTCTCCTTCTCTCTCGGCTGCCTTTTGGAGCTCTTCCTTTATGGGCTAAACCCGCTTCAGTCCCTCTACTCCCTTTACCTGGGAGTTAGCTCTCAGTCTCTTCAATCACAAAAGCTCCCCAGCCCAGGAGAGAAAGGCTTCACTTCTCCAGTCAGTGAGGAATGGTTCAGAAACTGGACCGGCTAGAGGGGTCTCAGGATCTATTTTAATACCCATTGAGTCCTTCCAGGGGCAAGTATTGCACAAGCACAAGAGGATTCTGTTGGCTTCTACGTCATGGAAAAAACAGCCTTCCTAGGGCCAGAGAATGATGAAATTATTAGTGTTCACTTCAGCAATAGACCAAAGAGAGAAAGAGAGAGTGAGTGTGTATGCACATGGGCATGCATGTAGGCCATAAACCCTTGGGCTCTGTCGCTTTCCTGGGCCACATAATGAGGATGAACAGCTTCCCCTCGGTTTTGAGAGCCGCCATCTGTCCCCATTCCTAACCAAAGGCATCATCCAGGGATAGGGGAGGAAACCCAAGGGACCTGAGACATGGCTGAGTCAGGCTCTGCCCGGTGACGAGTCAAGAAGGCGCAAATGCAGCACAGTGATAGCATTGGTCCCCAGTTATATCACCTTGTACCCCGCGGTCAACTGGAAACACTATTTTTAGCCTCTGAAAACACACTGCTTTGAAGAACAGTTTGCATTCTTCACAAACCTGTTTTCTGGGTAGAAAGACTGAGTCCTGAAACATTACAATCCTGGAGCACAGAGGGAGGGGGCCCAGAGATCAAAGCTGGTGCAGAGAGGGGGCTTGACTCCCAACCCCAGGTCAGAACGTTTATTTAGATGCAGGTCTGTGACAATGTCATGATCTCCCAGCTACTGCGTAGGCCTGTTCTCTGTGGCTTCAGAGCATCTCTCTGGACCCAGGATTGTGGCTCAGGCAGGTCCCATCCTTCCCTGTGCTTATGTCTTCCCTATCTGAGAAATGGAGACTGGCCTCTGAGTCTGTCTAGTCGTAAGTGTGTCTAGTCTTGTGTTAAACTTGTGCTCACTTTATATACATCTTGGTTGCACCTGCTAAGTTCCTACTCCTGTGCCTTTCATGTTGACACTGTAGGAACTGTCATTTGTCCACTGTGTGGCCAGTCCTGTGCCTAACATGTCCCCATTATATGGCCAATCCTACGTCCACTCTGTAACAAATCTTGTGACTGCCACTTCTTATCATTTAGCCAGTGTAATCCCTACCATGTCCCCGCTGTGTACTCAGCCCTATGCCCCCATGTCTCTCTTCCTGTAAGGTCAGCCCTCTACCCACCATATTATTACTCTCTGCCCAGTCCTCTACCAGCCACATTCTCACTGTATGGCCAGCGCTGTGCTCACTGTTCCCACTTTGTGCCCCATGCTGTAAATGTCACTTATCAGACTACTGTAGCCTAGCTCTGTGCCCAGTGCTCTTGCCCTACCCCCTCCTCCCCACCTGTCCAAGATTAATCTGACACAATATGACAAAAGCTGGAACATTCTGACTTGAGGATTCTGAACAGAGGCCCCACTCCTGCCCCTGCCACCCTTATCTTTGCTTCTGCAGGATACTGGTTCTGGGCTTCCGGGACTTGTGGCTCTGGGGAGGGGGCTGTATAAAAGCGCAGGCAGAACAGAACCATCTGGAACAGCAAAGACTGCCAAGGAGCTACTGTCCCTGGAGCGGAAGCCGGGAAATGCGGGGGAGGGGAACTTGGGCCTGAGCCTGGGCCCCTCACCACCTTCTGCCTCCCAGGAATACGTGGTAAAGGGGCTTTGGCCTCCCAGAAAGCCTCTTGTCTGCACATACAGAACTGTATTCCTGGGGCAAAGATTGCGTCTCGAGTTGCCACGTGGAAAACAAGGAGAAAGTCAAGCCTGGCATCTTGGATGGGCTGGAATTCAAGGGTTTCCTTAGAGTCTTCCCTACCTACCTTTCCCCCTGGCCTTACACTGGACTATCCCTCCTTCTGGGGTACTGTCTTGACACTGGGATTAGTTATTGGCTGGCTGGTAAAGGGAGAAGAACCTTACCTGGAACTGGCAGACCTCACTAGGGTGGCCGGGTCTTTCTACCTCCCAAGGCCTGTTGGGAGCCTCATGGCTCAATGGGTGGGGCCCTTTGTTTCCCACACTCTGTTATCCCTCAGGTCACTGGGCGCTGTGATGTGTGGGGTTGCCATGGCAGTGAAGTGGGGGCAGGGCATCTAGGGCATGGAGCAAGACTATCTATGGAAGACACCAAGAAGGTGGGGGCCTCTGATCCAACAGGTCCCCAAGGCCTTCCCTCAGCTGGAAACCAGCAGCTGAGAAGTAGCATCAGAGGTTCTCAGGAGTCATCGGTAAACTCAGGATCCCTGCATGTCAGGCAAGGGTTGTCGCTGTTCACTGAAACCACTGTTGAAGGATCACATGGTTCAGCCTCCCAGACTCACACCCATGAACCCATCCACCAGTTACTCCAGAACTCTCTCCGAGTTACCTCCCAGGGGAGCTGTGAGCAGGCCTCCCAGAATGTTTCAATGTGCTTCCCCAACAGCCCACTCCAGAGGCCCGTTGTGAGAGCCCAGCCACATCTCATCATGGATGATGGGACTCCGGCCTTACCTGTGTGCACGTACAATGACAGCAACATCAGGGACCCAAACCAGTATGGACCCAGCTGCCCTCGGTTTCAAGCACAGGTTTCAGGAGAGTGCAAGGCCCCATCCAAAGTCCTTGTGGGATGGGGCAAAGGTTCCTGTATCTCTGATCAGATGGCCCCTGTGGGTCCTAGGAAGAGCAGATGGCCATCTTATATCCCTTCAAAGGAAGATGAAGCAGCTGTAGCCCAGGGTTCTCTAGCTTCAGCTCAGCTGTCTGCCCAGACTCTAGCTTCAACTCAGAGCCCAGGTAAATGTCCGTGTCCAGCTCAAGTGACAACTTCTTCTATGTCCCTCCCTCCTTCAGCTCCTGCTCAGGCTACTACTTCAAGTCTGGACGTGGACTTAATGTCCATCGTGATCAAGCCTTATACCTGCACCCTTGGTCACCTGACTGACACCATCGCCATTCACAAGAATCTATCCCAAGATCTCTTGCTCAGAAAGTGCAACAATCAATGGTCAACCTCCTTGAAGCCTTCCAAAATCAGTACGTTCTGCGAAAACAAAATGGGCTTTCAGGAGGCTGCTGTCTCAGCAGCACCCACTGCATCCGATTACGTCCAGGAGCACAAAGTCGCCAGAAGACAAGAGCTACCTGAACAACCTGAGCACCTTGGGGAAAAGCTCCTCACTAGACCACACAACACTACACCAGACCCAGAACACCAAGGTACCCCTAAGCCCCTGAGTTTTATCCAGGAGAGTTGTAGCTCTCAGTCAGACCAGCAGCCCCTAAATATCCACAACCACATTTGTGCCAGTGTGTCCCTGTCTGCCTACCAAGGAACTTATCACAGGCAGCCCCCAGGCCAGTCTCCCACAGTGGTCATGCAGATGCCCTCCTCGGGTGCTTCCACCTGCCAGCACCAGGAAGCCATGGAAGACCGAGTTCTGGTATTTGATATGGCTACGGGCAACACCAGGGTTGGGCTGCTGTGTCATGAACCCATGGACTCACAGGCCATGTTGGTGGGTATGGTGCCCAAACACCCATGCATCTGCATCCCTAAGTCAATGCAGCCAATGGGCTCGCCAATACAATTGCCTGATAGCCCTCCCTCCAACTTCTGGTCCACCTCACCTATGCTATCCAGTCCTGTACCTTCCAGCCTCTCGCCAGGCAGTTACCGAGAGGTGTCCCTACTTCCCAAGGAGGCCAAGTTCAACCTGGAGACACAGAACACCTCTGGTCCTGAGACTCCCATCAGACTCCCAGTGCACACTGGGCCTGTCTCACTGGGGATGCCGCTCCAATTTGGTGAGAAGATACTGACCCCTGTTTCCAATACCGGATGGTCAAAACCTGATGCAGAAAAAAATGAACCTAGGCATATTCTCTGGCCACTGGACACCTCTAAGATGCCAGATGGCCCCATGGTCCAGTCTAAGAAACTACAGTGGGTGACCTCAGAGAAGACCCCAGAGCCTGATTTGTCAGCCAAACCACAGGAGGTGACCAAAGTCCTGGTCCAAGAGCACACGAAGAATCAGAACCAGGAGAAGGTCATTAGTGTGCACGCTGAAGACCCAGCGAAGGTCCTCCTCACTGGTCAGCCCCTCTTAGCTGAGCAGCTCCTTCTTGCCAGAAAGATCCCCCCTGATTGCCAACATTCTCAGGCTGACCAACCTCCCAGCATCGAGAAGTCCATCCACACTGAGCTGACACGGCTCACCTCCCCTAGGCAGCCTCCACTTCCTGATCAGCCCCTCCTCACTGGAAAGCTTTTTCTCACTAAACACGTAACTTTCACTGAGCAGTTCCCCTTTTCCAAAGAACCCATCTGTGCCAAAGAACCTGTTCCCTTGAAAGGGTTGCCAACCACCAGGGAGCCTGGACAGGCGGCCACCCTTTGCCAGGAAGGTGAATCCTTGGGCCTACCAACTCATGTGGCAGTACTCCAAATGCCTCTAGACTCGGAGAAGACCTGTGTCTTTGTGAAACGAGAGAAAGTCAGCTGTGGGACCATGCAAAGCTCCAGCACACATCAGATGGCGTGGCAACAAGATAGCTCCTCCCGGGCCCAAGAGGAACAGCTTTCTCTGATGACATTCGCTATGCCTGACACTGGCTGCAAGGTCTTGCCCATCTCCGTGGTGGGCACTGAGCCTCAGGGTGCCCAGTTCAAGATGAAGGCTGGGGACGTTACACACTCATCGGTGGTGACACGTCTTGGCTTACTCCAAGGGAACTGCAATGAGCTGCTGTCCAGCATGGATGCTCTACCGGTAAAGTCCGCAGGGATCTGCTGCCGCCTCCAGGGTCCCTGCCAGAACATGGCAGCCATTGTGATAGACACAGGCACAGGCTTTACCAAGTGTGGACTGGCTGGCGAGGACCATGTTCTCAGTGTGGTACCCTCACGGGTTCAACTGCTGCAGCACTCAGCCCAGGGCCAGCCCCGGTACACGATACCGGAGAATCAAGAGGGCGCCTGCCCAGTGTTGACCCGAGGTGTGGTCTCTGACTGGGATGCACTAGAAGTGTTGTGGCAACATCTGTTCTACTGCAGGCTGGGTGTGCAGCCTGAGGAGCTAGCTGTTCTCGTGGCGGACTCTCCTGTTTCACCTCGTACCAACCGAGAAAAGGTGGCTGAGCTTCTCTTTGAGCATTTCCATGTGCCTGCCATGCAGACAGTGCATCAGGCCCTGTTAACACTCTACTCATACGGGCGCACCACAGGGCTGGTGCTGGGCAGTGGCTATGGCACCTCCTATGTGACGCCTATCCTCACAGGGGACCTGGCTCCACTTGAGACTCACCGGTTAGACGTTGCTGGTTGTGACCTTACTGAATACTTGGCTCAGCTGCTGCTGGCAGGTGGCCACTCACAACTCAAGACAGAGGTGGTCAATAAGATAAAGGAGGCCTGCTGCTATGTGATCTCGGATATGTCCTGCAACCAAGCTCAGGCCCCGGTGAACTTTGTTCTTCCAGACAAGCAGGTCATCACACTGGGTTCTGAGTGCTTTTGCTGCCCTGAGGCCCTTTTCCAACCCAGTCTGCTAGGCCTCAACCAGCCGGGCCTCTCACAACTGGCCCTCCAGAGCATCAGCTGTCTGGAGGCCAAGCAACAGGAGCAGCTGCTAGCCAACGTGGTTCTGGATGGTGGCAGCACCCTACTGAATGGTTTTCCAGAGCGCCTGAGACAGGAACTGGGTCCCTGTGCCACTGTATTGGGGTCTCCACACCGTGCTGTCACTGCTTGGCTTGGGGGATCCATCATGGCATCCAGGGATTCCTTCCAGAGTCTGTGGCTCAGCCGTTGCCAGTATGAGGAGGAAGGCTCACGGGCCATCTATAAATACCATCTGTGAGCAGATAAAAGTTCTGGTTCTGCTTATTTTGAAGCCTGCAGCATGTTTCTGGCACAGGGTTGGAAGTGGGACCCTGGCACTCCAAAGGCATTTTCTGCTTCTGTATACAAACTTTATGGGGCCCTGTAATCTTCCTGTTTCTGGAGAGCCCTCAAGCCCCTTGGCTGATATTAACTGGTCTGGTCTAACCTTTTACACCCCAATGGCAACCATGTAGAATGGCTGGTGCAGGTTTTGCCCCGTTACCCTGGTGACAAGTGCAATTACCCTTGATTGCCAGCTGGTTGCCATGGTGATTTCAAACATAATGTAATAACCCACACAGCCAAGAGTGAGTCACAGTGGGGGTGGGGGAGGGGAAGAGGGTGGAGGATGAGAGAGCCCACTCCCCAAGCTCTAGTGGAAAGTATGCTTGCCCTCCTCCATCTTGGATCCTTTGCTAAGGGCCAAGGCCAGTTATGTGAACAATCACCAAGAAGTTCTAAAGACGACTAGGAGCCTGGAATGTTGCCTCTAGAAAGCGTCTCTGCTAGAGTTTTAGGGCGCTGGCCCAGTGATGCAGGTGCCTCCTGGTGTCTGACTTTTGACTAGAGTTCCATGCTGGGTTGGTTAGGGCTCCTGTTGGTCAGCCAGAGTGTGAAGGTATGAGACTACTGGCCTTTGGAGTCCTGGGCCAGGAATGAAAGTTAGGTTAAGTCCTGGACCATAGGCAGGAGGTATATAACCTGAGCTGAGGAACAAGGCTCTGCTCTATCTGAAGGTGGACAGAGGCTCACACTTGTCTGGGTCCCTGGCTGTCTCATTTTGTTTAAATTCAGACTTATAAACATTGAGTCCCTTTCTTTTCATCAATCTCCCTACCAGGGCAGCCTCTATCTGTAGGGTGATAAAGTACAGGCCTCCTTAGGAGGAACTTCACAGTAGCTACCAGAAAATGCCAATGCCAATGACCCCTGATCTTATGTCAAATTCTACCTGGAGCAATGTCCTCTTTTACCTCCCCTCTGACTAATAGAATGACTAGAAGCTATGGCCCCTGGGCCCATGAGGTTCTGAAGACAAAGGAAAGAATGTAACTCTGCATTGGGCCAGCCTAGGACCTAGAATTGCTAAGAGGATAGAGTTCAGTTGGAGCTACTACTACCTGATCCCAACCAGGAGGGCAGCCAGAAATTGAAACCAAAACACTGCCCTCCATGTGCCTCACTAGTAGGTAGTTGGAGCTGATGGGACAAATCATATCCCAACCGAAAGTGTTAGGTTCTCATCTTCAGAAAGTTTGCCTGATTACTTCTGTGCACACTTTTGAAGGACTCCCCAGGGTGGGGATATTAGGAGCAGTCAACCCTGTAGGGTAATTACAGCTCCTGCCCATTCAGAGCATGGTCCAGCCCCTTCCATGTTTTGCTTTCAAGCCCTGATCATGCTCCCCCAGATTCAGCCTCCATAATCCTGTCAGGCAGGAAGGGAGGCGGACGGACCAGCAGCTCCAGGGACCAGCTACAGCATCCTCACACACGTGCAAGCAAGCATGCCTGGCTGCACACAGAATGCAGACACACGTGCCCCGAGCACCACTGCACACACTGTGCTGTTGCCATCTCCCTCAGCACAGAAGTGCACACACACACACACACGTGTACTCACACACCCTGCCATGTGCTCTCACCCACATGCACAAGGAGTGTGCACAGGAACAAAAAGAGGTGGAATACAGCCAGCAGCAGCCAGGCTCCAGAGAGTCACCTTTTTTGCTATCTCTGAATCCCCATCTCCAGCTTCTCCTTGGCTCCCAGGCTTTCCACTAATGACTGCCTGGGTAACCACGACTTCAGCAAACACAGATCACATGTGTGATTCGCTTCAGTTGCACCAGACAACTCAGAGACCTATTGCTTCAAGGACAGGGGGCAGACAACAGGAAGGATTGAGCACCAGGCCATTCATTCATCCTGCACGCATTCAACTAAGCAAATTGAATTAAAAAGTCAGATTTGCCCTGCAGAAACCCAGCATTCCAGGAGATTCTGACCCAGTGGTGGAGATGGTACTGTGACTGAGACCCAAAGAGTCAGTGGCCTGAAAGAGGTGACTCAAAATGAGGAAAAGATTTATAAAGTCCTTTGATACTCTTTCTGGAAGAAGAAACAGAAAAGTGGTCATTCCCCAGACTAGCCTTCTTGCCCTGAGCCCAGTTCTAAGCTACCTGTGCATTCCCTTCTGCCATCAAGCCTTAGAAAGCCATGCAGTAAAGAAATCTCTCTCAGGAAGGGTAAGTCATTCAATATGACTGAGGGTTTGGGGCTGGCTCCAACTTCCCAAGGCCAGATCAAATGCCTCAAAGGGTCGAGTGAGGGGAAATGGGTTTGAGTGCAACTGTCGACACTCAGAAACCTTGGTCTGGCCTTAAGGGTGGCCCTAAGGACTTGTGAGAACGGTGGGGCTACTTTGCTCAACAAGGAACAGATAAATGGCCCAGGACTTGAAAAAGTCGTGGCTGGCAGTGCTGAGCTTCAGGCAGAATCAGGCCTGGCAGGACACGTAGGTGTCATTCTTCTCCCATGTCTGTACAGACTCATGAAGTGTCTAAGGTCCCTGATTGGACTTGGATAAGAGCAGAATCCATATCATGTGTCAAGCTGGGAAATTCTGGCCACACTGGAGGGGACAGAATGGACCTAGTCACTCTGACTGGGATTTTAGAAGGTGAAGTTTGTTTTTACAAGATTGTAAAGTAAGATGGATAGGTGGTTGTGTCATCTAGATTGGGTCTCTGACAGTGTTGCACACTGACAACCCACTCACAAACCCCCAAGTGCTCCCCAAGTAGCAACAGTCGTGGTTTTCCCCTTTTGGTCAGGGCTGGGCAGCTGGACAATGCCACATCCTCTGAAGAATACAGCGTACTTTGATGCAGCACCAAATCTCTGGTTCCCCCAAATCCAATTCCTGCCCCCTACAATGGGCACAGGAAGATCCTTTAGACCCTTGTCTCTGTGTTGGGAATCTGAGGACGTAAAGCAACATTAGAGAGCCCCGGCTAGGAAGGCCAGTGATCACCAGCTTCGTTCCCTTCCCGCGCCTGTGGCCCAACGCGTGGGATCCGGAATTCAGACTCCTCCCGGGTTCGGGGCGGGGCCATCGGAGGGAGGCCCCGCCCCCAGCCCGCCCCCGGCCCGGGGTGCGAATCCGGTGCCAGCGAGCGGCGGGCGATGCTAGAGGTCCTCGAGCCGAAGCGGCTGCAGCTGGCGCCGCGTCTGCCCCGCGTGCCCGGAGCGGATTCTGCCCGCCGCCCCCGGAGCGCCTGGCGCCCCGCTGAGCCCGCGGTCGCTTCCTCCCCGTGACGGACCGGCACTGCAGGTGCGGGGCGGGGCGGGCCGGGGCTGGGGGGAGCCTCCGGATCGCACGCTCGCTCGGGGGACACCAGGGGACTGAGTCCCGCTGGCTGGAGGTTCGGGACACCGTGCGCGGGGGCGCCGCGAGGGCGCAGGTCCCGGCGGGGGCAGAGCGCGAGGGCTCTGCAGATCTGGGGGCCGCGTGCGAGGTCAACCTAAAGTTCCCAGGTGCCTCGGGGGTCCCAGGGGAAGTGGGGGGGCCTGTGCGGCTTAAGTCCAGGAGATTATCCCGCGTCCCCCCTACTCGGTCTTGCATGGCTCAGAATTGTGGAAAACATTAACCCTCGAAGGTTCGTGGTGCCTCGTGAGGGTCGGGGGGTAGGGAGGGCAAAGCCCAACCTCACTGCTCTTAGAGCTGCCTGCAGCCCCTCCCAGATGCCTCGACCCTCCTCCCTTCTCGAAGCAGTCACTAATTTCCATGACAACGGAGAGTTCTTTATTGGCGACAACCCGAAGGGGGCTGGGCGGGGCTGCCGCGGTGTGGGGAAGGGGGCCCGAAGCCCCTCGGGATCGCGGCTCCCCTAGGCAGGCTCCTTGTTCCAAGCCTCTACGCGGAGGCCTGCTGGGGGTCTGGTGCACCGTGCGCGGTGGGGGTGGGGGCGGCACATGTTCCCGCTTGGGTGCGGGGCTTGGTGCTCACACGTGTGCCTCCCGCATGTGTGTACTGTGCCAGCGGAGGCGAGAAGCACTGAAGAAGGGGGTCAAGGTGGCACCACGGGGTAGGGGCAGGGCTCCTGCCTGGGGGGTGAGACTGTGTGAGCAGAGCCTGTGGTGTCTGGGTTCTTGAACCCCAGCCCCTCTCGGTTCTGCCAAACTGCCTTTGTCCGCACCACCTCCCCCACCACCCTAACTCCCACGGGCAGAGCCTGCTCCATCAGGTTCCTCCATCTAAGGAGCAGAGCCCTCCATCCTTCTTCAAATAATCAGAGCCCATAGCTTTCCAGTCCCAGTCTAGATCCCCTTCTAACAGGGGTAGGCGTTGAGTCCTCCCCAGGATCACCTGCAAAGATCCTACACTCTCCCCACCCCATTGATTCTTGCCAGCGTCAGCCACCTGCTGGGCCCTAGTCTTCTCAACTGGGAAATTGGCATTTTCTACTCCTTCAGTGCAAGGTTGATCCCAGGGTGGGACCGGAGTGTCTTTCCCTTTCTTTTACAGCGTTTGAGGTGGGCCCACAGGTGCCCCAGGCTGACTGTTCACATGTTTGTCATGGTCCCTTCTCTCCAGCCCCAAGTCCTGGCCCTCGTGCACAGGCAGACAGGTAGTCCTTTACCCTGCAAGGAGGCCACTGAGCCCTTGGTCTCTGTTTAGGGAAACTGAGGCACAGGGTGAAGGTTGTGCAGTTGTTACTGAGTTCAGTTGTCTAGGGTGCTGCTTCCGGCCCTCTTCTGACAGGATCTGTTTCAGGAGGAGTAGCCTGCATTTCAGGAGGGACCAAAGCCTTGGAAAGGGTCTCAAATGAGAAGGCCTGGTTGTATAGGGGCAGAACTGGACCGATTGAGAGGAGGGTTAATAAGAGGAGCTAATCAGGTCTCCCACCTCCTTTCCATCCCCCAACCCTGTGCCTTCAACATATTGGACCTTTCTTACACCCGATGACAGTG